GGGGGGGGGGGGGGGGGGGCGCATCTTTTTCTGAGCGGGCATGGTGTTTTTAAGTTTATAACTGAGGGAGAGATTTAAAAAAAAAAAAAGGAAAAAAAAAAGAAAGTTGTTTTATTTTGTGGCGAAGTTTTGGCTTTTACGCACGACGTCTTCTTGTTGCGCGCTGGGCGCTGTGCAGGATATATGATAGGAATTTACCCTAGGCATCTGGGTTTAGGTTAGAGTCCTTCTCTTTCTCCTCAGGGCGGATTTTTTTTTTTGTGAGTTTTTCCTCCTTGTTGCATTTCTCTTTCGCTCTCCCTCTCCCTCCCTCTCTCTCTCTCTCTCTTTCCCCTGTCCCCGCGGAGTTTATTCTACAATGTGCCACTGTAGCGGCCAGGGAAACGTGGACGCGGGTAGGGGGTCGTTACTTCGGCCTGAGCGGCTCTGTTGTGTCGGACTGTGCGGGACCTTTGTCTGTGTTTTTCGGGGTAGTTATGCAGTCTGGTGTGGGGAAGCTTCCAGAGACCACGGCGGTGCACCACATTGGGAAGAAGGGACCAATTACTCTGACTACATGTGGCCTGCGGACTGGTGATTGCGGTGATGGTTTGGTTCTCGTGGCGAGCGCTGAAATGTCCATCTTAGCGAACCGTTTAGTATCATGTTCAGGCTATTTTCTTGGCAGATATGGAGATGGTATTCCACTTGTTTCCAGTACACTTGTCTCTGCAGTTTTATGGAGACTGGTGTGTTATAGACACAACAGCTGATTTAAGGAAATTCAGATTTTCTTTAAACAAGTATTTATTTGAAACATTTAACCCTAAAGGAAAAAATAAGGCTTCAGATGTTCAGTATCAGATTAAATTACTTTTTCAGATTCATTGCACATTCTCCTGGCGTGTGTAATGCTCCCTAAAGTAGTTTCGTGTCAAATTTAAGGGCAGGAATCCAAAATTAAAGGAGACATTCAACACCATCCCACACCATAAACCACGTCCTTTGAACATCAAACCTCAAATAAAAAGTACCTCACTGTACAAGATGATTTTGGATGTTGTGACTGATTGCGCCTGCGAGTGTGGTTGTTGTGTGTGTGTGAATACCACATCCTCAGGGTGTGTGTAGTCCCAGAGAGAGGCATGCAGAGGGAAAACAGACTTGCTGTTTAAACCCATTAGTTTGTTAGTGCCTCCCAGGCTTCCCCAGATTGATTGAGATGTTTGCCTGTGAACCCTGAAGGGAAAAAGAAACTTGTGTTCAAATCCCCCCTTTGAGCCCTCAGCCACCTGTAGTGGCAAAGAAAGTGGCATAATTGGTTGCTAAAGTACAGTTAGGTCACTGGAACATTTGATAGGGTGTTCACTCAACATGTTTAACACTGTTTTTAAACTAAATGTACATTTGGGGAAAAGATTCAAGAAAGTTGAGGACCATTGGACAGAGAATAATGAAAGTCTCTGTAAGTTCGCGCAGCATATACCAATTTAATGTTTAGGTCATGGAACAGTTATGTCTTTTACAAAAGCCCTTATTCAACCTGCTGGTTCATAAAATCTTGTAGATCTGCCACTTCTTTCACGCTCTCTGTTCCTCATTCCTCCAGGCTCTATGTGCTGTGGGGCTTTGTGGTGGTCACGACCTCCGTGACCAAGGCTGCCAAGAGGAAGGTGAGTCATTAGCTCATTATAAGTCAGATTCACAGACAACAGCATCACTATAGAGGGGTGAAAGGTTATGACGATTAAAGGACGTTTTATCACAGTGTGTCTTAAAACAATCCTGACAAGCCCATTATTGGAGGCTGCAAATGTTCATCCTGTCCAGACTACCTGAGAAACACTGGTTAAGAAAACACAAAGAGGGAATTTAGTGCTTAAAAAGACTGTAACTTTGGAAGATAAATAGATAACTTGAATTCTGTAACTCAGACTGATGAAGCCTCATATCAGCTTCAGCTGAACTTTGAAACACATTTTTGTTACAGATAACACCATGTGTTCATGAGCCACTGTTAACAGTGCACCAAATCATCAGACAGACGCAGTTAGCGACTATGGTGAATAAAGTAAAGCATTTAGCAGCTAATTAGGCAGATATTTCTCTCAGAAGGAGATAGAGACCAAAACAGAGCTAAAAGAGAGTGACTATTGGACTTACAAATTAACGATGATGTTTATGACTCTGACAAAGACACAGTAGTGTCGAAATGTTAGTCTGTTTGCACAAGTAAAGGCTGTGAATTAATCAGTGTGCTCCAGTCCTCCTTTGTTTTCACCAAGTTTGCTGTCCTTGAAAGTCTAAGAAGCACCTGATTCGGCTGCATTTGGCGGAAGATTGGGCGAGAACCCCGTTTCTTTCTGAATGATAATTTTGCTCTAACAGCAACATGTGTAAATAAGCAAATGTTTGCTAACAACTTTACCCAAAAACTTTGTGTTTATAATTTGTTTCTGCTGCCCCCTAGTGGCCAAAAAGTCAATCGGTGCAGGTTTAAGAAGATGAAGTTCAAAGGCCACTGAAGCTCATTGACTACAACCAGTACCACTATATACTGGACTTTATAATGGTTACACATTAACACTTAAATTAATACTTAATACACAACTGTATTAAGTATTAGTCTTAGTCGACCTTTGTGTCCGACTGATGTCGGTTGTACGTAGTTGTTCTTAGTAAATTGTTGACCCTGTTAGAAGAAGAAGATATACTTTAGGCAGACAGGAGTGGAGCTGTTGATGGCCAAAACATGTCTACATTTAAGTTGTTCCTAATATTTAAAACAATGAATTTTATTTCCTCCACTTGAGACTGGTTATGGCAGGATTATGGAGAGGAAGAATAATTACAGCATTAAAAGAATTCAATCTACACACGGACACATCGGTATTGTTTTAAGACAGAATTTAAAAAATGCGAACCTATCCTTTAAAGGGGCCCAAAGCTGGAGAGGGCTCACAGTAATACCAGCATCAAAAAAAAAAAAAAAGGTGATGCAGATTTCACAGCTCCACTCCGGTCTGGTTCAGGCCTGGTGGTACAGTGTCGCAGGAGTTTAACCAGTAGCTCCAGAGGTCACCGACGGCTGCTGCAGGGTCACTGCATGGAGCTCATTAATGGTCCCAGTTATGTGGCAGCTGTGTGTTTGATGTCACTCATTACAAAAGACCACACCTCCCCTTCAGAAACACACACACTCACAGTCATTAGGCCTGTCTGCCCCCCTTCATCTCTCTTACCCCTTTCCCTTTCTCCCACCCTCCCGCCATTTTACCTCAGACAGAGACAGGAACTCTTATAATTTGGATAATACAGTATCAGAGGACACAAACACACAAGTATGCCGCGTACACCTGTCCTCTCTCTCCACAACTACGCAATATCAGTTTGTACAGTATGTTTACTTGCATATTTCTGCCCGTGTACACACACATTTACACCCTCGGAGAGAGAGAGAAGGGAGAAGTGGAGCGCAGATTTATGTTTTGGTTCTTTCTGAATGGAAACTTTTGTTCAGCTCTCATGTTTGCTGCTCTGCCAACCAGGCCAATGCTTCAGTTATGAAATGAGAGGAGAAACATTTATCTACAGCCACAGAGGAAGACATCAAAGCCTGACCTGGCACCCACATACATGCACTCACACATATATATACAAACACACATGCGAAGCCAGATCAGCACCCAATCTGGTCTTTTTCTGCAGCGCATTTATATGACACCAAGTCCAATGAATTTATCCATCTGCTCATAAGCTGCTGGCAGGTGACCGAGTCTCTCCTAAGCCTGAGTGAACTATGAAAAGTTCAGGATTTATATTTTGGCCTCAGAGGAAGGAAACTCACGAGACTGCAGCTCATCAGTGAACTCAGTTACTGTGAAGAAATAAGTCCTTCCAGGGATTTTGCAATGGCAACGTTTTTGTTAAGTAGTTCTTCAAAATATTGCCAAAGCGTGCAGTTTTTACCTGTTTTTTTTTTGTTTTGTTTTTTACAGCAGAGTTAGAGTTACAGTGAGTTGTAGTGCACTGGAACATTCAATTAAAGTACTTTTTTACCAGTCTAGCTTACTTAAACTCAAAAATTGTCCCAATGCCTCCATTCTTCCCTGAGAAAACATACTGAGAACTGAGCCATGAGTCTGATTTTCACAAAATGTAACAAAATCAAGAACTTCTCTTAGACGTGGAGTGAAAAGAGATACCATTAGTACCATTTTTTGACGTTTGAAAAATCGTTCTATTTAGTCTATTCTATTGTAATGTTACTAATATAAAAAGAATATGATGAAGGTGCTGAGGAACAGTTAGTGCCCTCATGCAGGTTACCCTATGAACAGATGACCTTTTGTTAAATTGTTGTTGAGGGTGTGACAGAGAGTGATGAGGAAAAATGTAGCACAGAATCAAGGTAATTACCAATAAATAGTCTAGATTAAGTTGAAATCAATAAGTCTTTGATTGATAGAAAAGAAAGCGCCAACAAATTAATTTATTAACAGAAAATTGTTGAACAATTGTTGAACAATCCAACAAATAATCAGAACATTAAGTAATAAAAATTATTAGTTTCACCCCTAATAATTATTTGAATTAAGTCTCTCTTCTCGTGTGTGTGTGTGCGACAGGTGGCAGGCCGACGGTCCAGGCAGGTGTTTGAGGCGGAGCCTGTGGAGGGCGTGTGGTCTGTCTGGGGGGAGTGGTCTGAATGCTCTCAGACCTGTGGCGTGGGCGTCTCACAGAGGAGCAGGAAGTGTTTATCTCCTCCACCTGCCCACACCCCTCCCGTGTCCCACTCTCCACCTAACTGGGCAGGTTATTTGCCCGGGGGCATCGGAGGTCCTGTCATCTCACCTGTGCGTCCCTACTACCCTCCTCATTACCCCGGGCAACAGTCACCTTATCACTCCCCTTCGATCCCCACCAATCACAACCCAGGACTGTCGCTGTATCGGAATACCAACACTGGGGGAGGAGGAGGAGGAGGAGGAGGAGGAGGAGGAGCTCCTGTACCAGGACAGGCCAATCCATCCTCTCCTCTTTACCAGCCAGAATTCCCCCCAACCAATCAAGACCATGTGTCCGTTTATCGATCGCCCTACCGCGCCCCTTCACACAGCTACAACCAGCCATCACGGATCATCAGGAGACCGACCAATCCAGGAGCAGTGAGGCCTGGAGGAGGCGGGAGCAGAAGGTCGGTCTCCCCCAATCGGGAGAATTTGCCTTCGAGGAGGTGAGGGAGACTGGACAGTTGTAGAGCAAACTAACCAATTAGAGCCTAGTTTATCACAGATATATAAATATCTGCATACATGCTGATAAATAAGAGGAAAATTAGTAGTAGTAAAGATATTTTTGATGTTGCGTAGAAACAGCCGATATATAGTCGACTAAAGAGATCTCACTACAATAGTTGTTCTGGAGCTTTCAATCATATCACACAATCCTCCTAAGCTAAAGGAGTTGCCAAAATGTAGATGTTCAAATTTCCTTTTTTGTCTGAGCACTTTAAAAATGTTTAAGACAACATTGATGAGAAGTTTTGAAGGTTAAGGGTAATTTTTTCTCAGTTATTGTATAGTTTGTCTATCAGAGAGCACTGACAAGTTCATTTTTTAATTGTAAAATGTCCCACTGAGCACATATTCTAGTCACAATTCTTCATTAATTAAAATTCACATTTACCTTATCATTGGTGTAAAAGCCAGCATCATTCAGGCCCTAAAAACAATAATCACCAACATTTTCTTATGAAAGTGTTTTTTTTTTTTAAAGTCAAAGTGGATAATACATACAAACACTGATTCAATCAATGTCCTGTTAACAAATGTTTTTACATGTCCTTTGCTAAGCACCCTGAGCTGCTCTTTTCCAGGAACATGACTCCATCACACAGGAAGTGAGTTCTGCCTCGCTGGCAGTAGCAACAGCGGCTTGTTTAGAATAAATAGAAGAACTCAATTGTTGAGATGAGCCACCAGACAAAGAAAAGATTTGTACCTCATCACAAAGGGGAAGGTAAAAAAATACCAGTGCTTAGGATTCATCCAGGTGCCATTAGTTAAAGTGCTGACACTGTTTAGGCATTAGAGAGGGTTTGTTATGATGTTTCGAGTATTTGGTGTTGGAGTTATGCCCCACTGGTATCTGCTGTTTTATGACATCATTACTTCTGGTTTTTGTCACACAAACAGGCTCTGCATTACTCTGCCCGCTCACCACAGCCTGCTGGCTCCATGTCAGTTATAATTATGCTAGAACATGAGCTTTATCTGAAATTGATCCTGTCTTTCTGTTTTCTTCATCTCTTTCACTGACTCTCTCTGTTAATATTTCTCTCTAAATACTCCCTGTTTTTCTTCATCCTGTTTTTGTCTCTTCCTCTTTCACTCGCAGGTCTTCCAACATCCGTCCAGGTCAGTTTGGGTACGGCAGGGTCCCCTTCTCTCTGCCTCTGCATCGCCCCAACCGACAGGCTCGCCACACGGCTAACGGTACTGACACTGCGACATCGGCCTCTGGACTAGCCGTCAGTGAGGACGACGCAGAGACTACCAGGAGAGTGGAAGAAGAGGCGCGGATTGATGGAGAAGACAGGGAGGCTGGAAGGGGTGAGGAAGAGGAGAAGGGCCCTGACACACCTGCTGCTGAGGAGTTACCCACAACGACAACCACAACTGGCAACCCACACCGTCATCATGTTGACAGACCCTCGCACACCAGTACAGAACACGGGAGGGCGAGAGATCGCTCCTCATCGTCATCTCACCTACCCAACCGCCACCGGTTTGACTGGCACTCCGTCACTGCGCCGCATCCTCCCGTCCCTCCTCTCTCCCGCCCAAACTCCCCCGCCGCGGCTTCACCGTTTTCCACTTCGCTCCATCGTCCCAGCCCCGTGCACAGAGACAGGGAGCTCCACCCAGGCTTCAGCCCGCAGGTCCCACCCGCTGGCAACGTCTACCCCCTACAGCACCCGCACATCCCGCACATGGGAGTCGAATCAGGCAGGGATGGAGGAAGAGGAGCTCCTCAGGTCTACAGATGCCCTGGGCCGGAGAAGGAGTACCGCAGGTGCTTCTCACAGGTAAGATCTTCACCCATAAACCCCAGAAACAACATTAATATTCCTCTTAATTTACTGACTTCACACTGATTTCATAATCTCAGTAATTCACTTTTATACCAGCTCCTCAGTGTGTTTGTCCCCTGCTCACTTCTGCATATAGCCTGCAGTCATCCTTGATTTATATGCACACCATGTGCTGAAGAGAGCAGTTAGGTGACCGTAAACTAAGGAGCTGAAGGTCAGCAGAGTGTATTTGATAGGTAGATCGTTCCCGAGGTCCAACACTAGCTGGTTGTCTATGAGCACTCGGATGGAAACGTACCTCTGCTACTCCATGGCGTGTGTGTATTCTGGGTCACAACCAGAATACACACCTCTGTTGTGAAGCCATACACATGCCTGTATGCGTTCAGTATGTTCGCGACTGATTACACATATCTGTGAGCATAAATATGTGTTTGTGTGTGTGTGTTTGTGTCAGTAGCACAGTGTGTATCGATGTAATGTCCTGTCTGGCTCGGGGCCTGCAGTGATGATTGGGGTTGCGACCTCCTCCATAGCTCTCAGTGCAGCACAGTGTGAGCATTATCGGTAGCAAAGTGTGCGTACGTGCTGCCAAAAACAGCAGCCAGAGACACAGACAGGCGGGTCATGTCAGATTGGCCAACTCACCCTCAACACACAGGTGAGAAACTGAGGTCGACCTTGCAGTAACTCAGGTTTCAGGACAGGAATGCCACACTTGATTTCACTCAATTAAATGTGAAATAGAGAGTGAATATTGTGGATGAAGAGGATTTTACAACTACACATTGAGTTTCTAATGTCCTTCAATTTATATATTGTTAAAATTCTGTATCTAAAACCAGGGAACATTAGCCATTTTTAAGCTGCAGCTGTCCTGGCAAAACACATGTGTGACACATTTCATATATGTCAAATCAAAATCAGCTGCATTGGTATTTCACTTGGCTAGCCTGCACATTTTCCACCTTTTGCAACGGCTGCTCCAAAAATGAACAGCAGGTTTTTTTTATACAACGTTCCACCATCTTTGCCATTTTTCAAACAATCAATCAATTCTTGTCCCCGGAGAGAGCGACGACAGGTGGAAAGTCACAGATTTTGGCTTGAATGTACGCAAGCACAAAGATTTAGCAACTGCAACAGCAGCGCGTTCCTTTGCTCAATATGTGTGAAGTCTAAAATGTGTTTGTAGCACCAAGTAGGTCTTCAAGGGCATCATACATTAATCAACATTTCTGGAAATGTTCCAGTGTTAGCTAGCCAGCTAATTGACTAATTAATTGCAGTCCTTCCTGATCAGTTTTAGAAATAAATCATAATTTTGCAAATTTTAACTCTAAAAAATTTTATTTGGGCCCCCAAAGGAGCTTGTACAGCTGCATTAAACATTTTTATGGGAACAAACTAATTTACTGTTTTGGACCAAAACTTATTTTTGGTAATTCTATCTCAAAATTTTAAATAAGACCCAGGCCTAAACAATATGACCTGACATCTCTCTCTTGGGCTTATTTATCACAGTGCTATTTAAAAAACGCTAAAATGCAGGAGGTGATTATTCCTGCTTGAATTTCATGAAAATCGATTAGCCACGTTTGAGATATGGCATGTGATGGATGGAGAGGCAGACGAATGAAATAAACAGAAGGAAACTGATCCATAATCCCTTTTAAGATTTGATCATGGGGACAAAAATACCCAGAGTGACATGTGACCGGGGTATTTATGCCAGCAGGCCACTTGTAGCAGGTCTGTTTTAAGTGAGAGTGTAGGGAGAGATGATAAGATTAAAGTTAACAACTTCCATGCACACACAGACAC